AAAATACAAGACAAAAAATTCAATCTTCTTAGAATTTATACATCGTTAGCAGGTGAAACAATAGAACATTGGTCATTCATATTGCTGGCGCCGCTGGTGGCAGAAAAACATGGCAGCGTTCTCACAGTATTCCCCATATAAGCCGGTGTGGCTCTGTATGATTCTGCCGAGCCATCCCTTGCTGACGTCATTTGCACACTTTATATGTATTTTGAATATTTTTTGTATATTGAATGAATTTGATACTTGATGTAGTACTCCTAATAGTCATTTATTAAAGCTTTTTCTGGTAGCTTGTCTGCTATCTCATTTAAAAAATTTGATATTTTTGATGTCAAAAAATGTTGTCAACAGCATTTTACAATGGGTTTGAACTTTCTGTTTTGGGTACAGTCTCTCCCTCTCATTCGAAAATGCCCCTCATGAAAGAAAATACCACTGATATTATACCATTTTCAAGCCTGCTCAAAACAAACCCTCTGCTGTTAAATGTATATATACCCAGTCCCACTTCCACTTCTGGTAGATCTACATGCACTTGTACACTAACTAGAAGCGAGCACAGTGAGCGACAGGTCCACTAGTTTAACACACACAAACACCATCCATGTGACACCTACAACATGACTGGGGTTGTAGGGTATTTTCTAGCCGACCTTTCATACATACCATCATTACATGAAATAATATATAGTCGATATATTTTCCATGTTTAGCCAATTTACAGTAGAAAACCCAAAATGGTTTAATTCGTTGCTTCAAGTGTTGTATCGTATGCTATCCGCGTAAGGCACTATAGAATTTCCGATTTTCCTTTCACAAATACCGAAACTTCCCAATCAGTGAATGAGTTATTAATTACACCCAACCACAGAGTTTAGTTTTCTGAGTTTCGAAACTGTGTCGTCGTTTAGGCACTGCCTATAAAATTTTTGTTTTATTAAGTACTATCATTTTATTGCTGAAATGGGCCATGGAGGCCCAAGCCTAGTTTAGCCCCACAAATTAGTTTAGCACATATATATATGCAAAAACATATTGCTTCATCCTGCACTGTGTTATTTAGATTCAGATTTATATAACAGTATGCAATAGAATAGCCTAGTATTACTAGTCTCTAGACTCTACTCTAGCCTATTGAACAGGCTAGAGTAGTATAGAGACTAGTAATAGTAGTATTCCTCTTAGTAATACTAGGAGTAGTACCTGGCAACTGCTCGAGTCAATGATCTAGTTTGGGATTACGAAACCCCGCCATAATATCGGGAAACCCGGTATTGGGATGAACCGGTTTGGGACTCCGGTATACATAGTTTGTTTATGTGCATACATAGTTCGTTTACGTGCATACATAGTTCGTATATGTGCTAAACTAATCCGGGGTGCCAGTGGCGGATCCAGAAGTGAATTCTGGGGGGGGGAATCAGGCGAGCTCAAGGGCACGAAGCACCCGATGGGGTGTTCCCCACCCACTGTGTGGAATTGTTAAAAAGTTGCAATCTAATAAGTAATAGCAATCAATTTTAAACATCTTTATCAGAATATATCAAATTTTTCCTCCTTCAGGGGGGTGTCCCCCTCCTGTATAGGGGGGGGGGGTACGGGGTCCCCTTCTAAAATTGTTGAAAATTACACCTCTTAGATGCAATTTCCTGCTCTCTGAGACAGCATTATTAAACAATCTTCGTCACAATAATATCACTGTTGAGTTGAGTATTTTTATCCTTGGGGACACCAAAGACTAAAAGTAAAATACTACTATATTAAATTATAGACTGAATAATTCTGTCCCATATAACCTTTTTTTATATTTTGGTGAGGGTTATTGGGACAGAACGGGGTTCATTGAAATTTTGTGAGATCGCATGCAAAATGCATGCGCTGCTAATGCGGCCCGTACGCCGCTATTGGCGCGAAAAAAACCTACCGTTCCCTTCTACATGGCTTTACCTTGCTACTGATATATGTATACATTCACTTCAATCGTTATTCACTTCTTAATATGTGTATACATTCACTTCAATCGTTATTCACTTCTTAAAAGATGATTTTTCAGAAACCCCGCTTCATTTAACTTTAGTAAATTACGTTCGCCATTTACAAACAATCAGACCAATCAGAGCGAGTCTTACAATAGCCCCTGGTTCTTGCTTGTATCTGTGGCGCTGCAGGAGGCCTGATAGACTCGCTCTGATTGGTCCGATTGTTTGTAAATGGCGAACGTAATTTACTAAAGTTAAATGAAGCGGGGTTTCTGAAAAGCAATCTTTTAAGAAGTGAATAACGATTGAAGTAAATGTATACACATATTAGTAGCAAGGTAAAGCCATGTAGAAGGGAACGGTAGGTTTTTTTTCGCGCCAATAGCGGCGTACGGGCCGCATTAGCAGCGCATGCATTTTGCATGCGATCTCACAAAATTTCAATGAACCCCGTTCTGTCCCAATAACCCTCACCAAAATATAAAAAAGGTTATATGGGACAGAATTATTCGGTCTATTTAAATCTGTGCTAGTAGTAGTAATACTAATAGTAGTATGTTACTATGTACATTATACATATCCTCACTGACACTGGGGACCAGTGCAGACTTGCCTAGGCTAAAATACCCTTGCCCTAAAAATTCTAGGGGGCAACCGCCCCCTGTGCCCACCTGGATCGGTCGGCCCATTCCTATTTGACAACCCCAGGTTTAAAAACCCTAACCCTAACCCTAACCCTAACCAAACTCACGACATGGGTGTGTAAACGCTACTTGTACCGATCGGTCAATGGGTTCTAAACTAGTTCTAACTGGGTTCTAAACTACTTTTAACTGGGTTCTATACTAGTTCTGACTGGGTTCTAAACTAGTTCTAACTGGGTTCTAAACTACTTTTAACTGGGTTCTATACTAGTTCTGACTGGGTTCTAAACTAGTTCTAACTGGGTTCTAAACTACTTTTAACTGGGTTC